AAGCTCCAATTTCAGAAAATGGAGGCTCCGAATCGTGGCAAAAATTCTATTCCGAAGGCCGCGGACGGTGAGTCGAACGTCGGCGACGATTTTGTCTCCGAACGTAAAAAAAAAAACAAAAAAAAAAATAAGGTGGCGGAGGACACCAACAAGAAGATGGTTCGAGGAAAACAGGCTAAATCGAAAGATGTTGCTATATCCGATTCGGATTTCCAACTTGAAGAGGAGGAGGAACCATATTCCAGTGATGTGGTTGCGGATGTATCAAATGACGATAGTGACATGGGCTCGGACATCCCAACTCATATTGATTTGAACGGTGTTGGCCACTGGGTACTGGGACGATTATCCATTGGTGAGAGGAGGCTCGTTGTATACAATTCTTTGCGATCAGAAGAGTTTGACAAGATTGTCTACGACGGTGTTCGGTGCTATTCTACTCTCATTCCTATTTTCCTCGGTATGGTTCATTTCTACTCCAAAAGGACCGACATCAACAGTGTGGGAGAAGCATTCGATGGAAAAAGGGTGAATGATCCACTTGATGTTATTATGGCTGAAAATCTTCCCGAGCAGGAGCAAGGGTAAAGTCTATTAATTTTTATATCATCCTTTACGTAGTTATCCACGTAAATTTTAACGTGGATAAAAACATGCTTTATACATTTTTTTTTTATTATCAGTGACTGCGGAATATTTGTTGCCTCATTTGCCGAATACTTCATCACTAAGTTTGATCTCCCGACCAACTATCTTCCCGACACGGAGAGGATGAGGTACTCATACGAGCTATNAAAAAAAAAAAAAAAAAAAAAGGTGTCGGACGGTACCAACAAGAAGAGGGTTCGAGGAAAACAGGTTAAATCGAAAAATGTTGCTACATCCGATTCGAATTTCCAACTTGAAGAGGAAGAGGAACCATATTCCAGTTATGTGGCTGCGGATGTATCAAATGACGACAGTGACGTGGGCTCGGACATCCCAAAGTTTGACGCAAAAAACCGTAAGCGTCGACGAGATTTTTCGAAGGAGTACTGTTTGTCTTGTGTATGGAGAGGTGAACCATGTTGGTACTATTGGCATTATGTTTTGTTTCGTTTTTTGATTTTTTTTTTTTATTTTTTTTTACTTTTTTCTGGTGAACTTCANTTTTTTTTTTTATTTTTTTTTACTTTTTTCTGGTGAACTTCAGTGAATGTATATTGGTGTTATTGATTTGCACGATCTTAACCTATTAAAATGCACTTTTTGGACCATTTTTTTTTCCAATCCGGTCTTGTAAGTTTTTTCGGACCAGTTTTTCTTCAGTGAATGTATATTGGTGCTATTGATTTGAATAATTTAAGTAATGTGTTTACCTAACGGATATTATACCGTGTTGTAAACATAAAATAGAGACATAAGCACACATATTGTTTAACTAATGTATATTACATACTTTAAGTAATGAGTTTACCTAACGTATATTATGCCGGGTTGTAAACATAAAATAGAGACATAAGCACATATTGTTTAACTAATGTGTATTACATACTTTAAGTAATGTGTTTACCTAACGTATACTATGCCTGTGTTGTAATCATAAAATAGAGACATAAGCACACATATTTGTTTAACTAATGTATATTACATACTTTAAATAATGCGTTTATCTAACGTTTATTGTACCGTGTTGTCAACATAACATATAGACATAAGCACACATACGTGTTTAACTAATGTATATTACATACTTTAAGTAATGTGTTTATCTATCGTATATTATACCATGTTGTCAACATAACATATAGACAAAAGTATACATACATGTTTAACTAATGTATATTACACCGTGTAGTAAACAACTGTGTCGTTGGTGTCCACGCCTACTACTAAACTAGTTAGAGAACTATACGGTTTATATTAGAGAACTAACCGTGTTGTTTATCTTATGTATAACTATACGGTTTATATTGGAGAACTGCCATATCATGTTTATCTAATGTGTGTATACCGTAATGAACATATATATAGATCACGAAAACAATTTTTTTGCTTCCAATTCCTAAATTCTAGGCTTCAAATTTGTTATTTTTTTTTTTCGATTTTCCTTTTGCTTGCGGTTTTTCTAGCCGTAATTGAAAAATGCATANAGATATATTGTATATATACATTAGATAAACATGATCTGACAATTCTCTATTATTAAACATATAGTTATACATAAGATAAACAACATATTAAACAATTTGAATTCGGTAGAAAAAAGTTATGATCCCGATTGGGAATAGAAAAAAATTCGGTAGAGAAAAAATTCGGTAATCGACATTTTGAATTCGAAAAAAAAAAAATTCGTCCAACCACCAAATATATGTTTAGATATATTGTATATATACATTAGATAAACATGATCTGACAATTCTCTATTATTAACCGTATAGTTATACATAAGATAAACAATATATAAACAATTATGAAAAGAGATTAAACATAATGTTAATTAACATAAAGTACTATCAAATATTACAAAGATTTGTAAACACAACAGGGAACTCGTCGAATGATAACCAAACTCGGCCACGAACTCGCTGGACAACTCGTAATCAAAATAGCAGTCACTGGCACTCGTGGTAGCAAGAGGAGAAGAGGATACTACTCCAGATCGACGAAGACGTTCCAGCAAGGTGGCCGGGCAGGCGGGCGCCGGCAGGCCGCAGCCGCGCACAGGCGTGGCCAGCANTACAAAGTTGTTGGTTGAACTTTGTAAACTTCATGTAAAGTAGACATGTTGGAATTGATAAATTCTAAGTTCAATTCGGTGTCATGTATAGTAGACATATGTTGTTTATCTTATGTATAACTACATTCGATTTAGATTTTGCAGTCATTCAGAATTGTATAGTATGTTTTATCTCGTTTCAGTGTTGTTTATATGTTGTTTATCTTATGTATAACTATAATGTTAAATTACATGTTGTTTATATGTTGTTTATCTTATGTATAACTATATTCGATTTGAATTTTGCAGTCATTCAGAATTGTATATTATGTTTTATCTCGTTTCAGTGTTGTTTAAATGTTGTTTATCTTATGTATAACTATACGGTTAAATTACATGTTGTTTATATGTTGTTTATCTTACGTATATATACCGTGTATCTGAACATATTTTCACGATCAATTTCACTAACTCAATTTTCTTAGATTACACGGACGCTATAATTATACTAAATATATTCATAAATTAAACAACTCAGTTAGATCGATGATTTTTTTCCACAATAAACGAGATTAAAAAGTTATGAACATATGAGATTTCACGAACACTAATTTTTTTCTAGCTCGTTTGATTTTTTTTTTCTTCAAGACAAGGAGTCCTCTCCACGACCAATGGCCTCACCATGAGTTAAGCCAACTCAGACAGATAATATAATTATACTAAATATATTCATAAATTAAACAACTCAATTGACGATGACATATCTTTTTTTTTTTTTTTTTTT